GGAAGTAGACTTTAATCCTACCGATCAGAAAAGTGTTAGCAGCTTCTCCCTGCAATAACACAATGCACATGACAATCCGGCACTTCTCAATCACCTTATCAAATCCAGCTAATCCATTCAGTTACATCGAAAGGATATCTCCACTCCACAGACACACATGGATTACATCAGCTAAAGTTAAGCCCAGCTTAGCTACTCCCTTTCACTCAATCACTTAGTGAGCCGCATCGGTGACGCACGGTTTGAAGTTAATGACGAACGTGGGGGCGGAGGAACAGCAAGTGGAAAAGCGCATGCTTCCACCTCAAGTCAAAGCGCTATGCGACCTACCAACAGTCATTAGGGGTCATGAAAATTTTCTCTTCACCCCTGCCCCCAACGCCGTGCAGGATGCGATTCACATACACCACGCTGCTCTGTTTCGCGCCCCGTGGAATCCCAGTCAAATACGTGACTCCCGTACTTCCGGCACTCTCGTACCTCATGGCTCTTCCGGCAATTGAGCCCGAAAACGGCACGCCACCCCAAATACCAGCAAGATACTCCATCAAAAGTAGCGACCGCATATATCAGCAGATAAACACCTCCTAGATTTCACCACACCAAGAACAATTCGTCTCGTTCTTCTGCGTTTCTACGATACCTGAACTGCAACCCTGCCTTGGTAACTCCAGATTTCATCTTCACCACAACCACTCGCTTCGTTCAGCACACTTTCAAATCAGTGACTTCCACCCTAGTCAGAAGTTTTCAGACAGCACAAAGAACCTTCTAGCCAAGCTTTGCATACAGAGAAGCGCCCACCCAAACGGCTATCACCCAAACGAAAGAGAAAGGCCATAGATGCTACAAGCGCCTTGGCGACAAACAGTAAGAGACAAGTAAATTTGGCTCCCACAAACCCTCCCCCGCATGATTGTCTTCTGCAGCACTGCATACCGAAAGCCACATTCACCGTTAGGGTTAGCAAGTGCCATCAGTGCCTCCCATCAATCAAATAATCCAAATAACGACAATGTGGAGCAATTTTATTTGATAAAAAGTCCTCTGCACGTTTGATGAGAGCTGCAAGAGGTGTTCACGACATCCCAAAGACAATTATTGAGGTTAATCGAGACGTTTGTGATTGTTGAACGGGAATCCCACATGAAAACCGCGCCATGCGTGTGCGACACGCAATGAGAAAAACTTGAGAAAGATGAGGGATGGTCGGCAGGTGAGATTACAATAAACAACGGGGAGGAGAGAAGAAAGGAGGGACAATGTGAAGATAGCAAAACCGCCTCACTGACCGCTCAGGTTGAGTGCGTGCTCCAACTCCTGTCTGCGCTGGACTACCTGAAATGCACACAAGCCACACATCGAGCAGCCTCATCCACCGTTCGACACCGAACCGTGATCTCGGGATCAGCAGGTGCCGCAGACCAGATACAATGTGTACTTCGCTAGCACAGTGCAGACACGACCCGTGGAAAAGAAACCGCGTGTGTGCAAAAACAACCTCAGCTAAAGACACCGTTCTGGGCTTAAAACGACGCTCAAGAACTCATTCCAGTAGGATTGTGTACAGTTGCATTTAGCAACCAACGAGTCACACCAAAACACCCCAGAACTTTGCACAGCCATGAAGACACCATGCATCACAGTCACAAAACAGAAATTACTGTATATGCAAGCGACTCCACTCTATGCATTTTCAACCAAGGGACTAGCATCTCAAACAAGCGTTATGTCATTTAACTAGCTTATTTACACGACGACGACCCTACTTGATGGAACTGGTAGTAGATGCGTTGGCTCAACGTTTTCGAACAAATGTGTTTGTATTGCAAAATTGCGTACTGCATCTGAAGTCTCCAATAAAAAACCCCGTAGTCGTTTGCTTGTCGCACTAGGAGGTCTCCAAATCACAATTCATTGGGACACGGTAAGACAATAAGCGTACCCAAATACTTAGATAAACGCAAGATCCGATCAAACGACTCCAGTCAGAATGGAATAAAATTCACTTAACTAACACAAAGCCCAATTAGATTGCAGTGAAAAGGGTAAATCTTGGACTGAAGTGTACATTGTAATTCATCGGATTATAAAAAAGGGCCCTGGAATGCCAGCAGGCGAAAATCTGCACCACCTATTAGAGATTGCCAACGGCTAGTGGAGCCCGCGATTAAACATTGTAAGTTATTTAGACATTTAATCTAAGGGCGAGAAAGGAAAGCATAACGTGGGTCCAAAGGTCACGTTCCAGACGTCTGGTTAAACTTTTTTCTATTCCCTCCTTCCCAATTTATGTCTTCC